TCCAAGGCATGAGGAGTGCACGCAGAACTGAGACACCTTTGGCGCCATTCTGATGTCGCGTACAATGCACCCCTGTGTGGTCTATTCTACTCTACAGTTATGAGACCTTGAATTTACGAGTGGAAGAAATTAATCGCTTCTAAGTCTTAGAACGCCGATGCTTGCATAATTGAGAGCGGGTCGGATGGTGCGTGTGCAAGTAACATTGAGGTGGAGGCCAACAGATGACGTAGAAACCAGGCATGATGAAAGACATGGAGCACTTAGGTGCAGCAGGCGTTTTCCATCTTCTATGCTGTGGTCCAAAAGATTGCAATTGGTTGGTTAGAGACACTGAACAATATGGCAATTAACCAACTGCAGCTGTATTCTTGTTGTCACTTCTTATCCATCCAGAACGTTTGAAAATGGATGCATGCACAGTTAGAATGTATAATTTGTGTTGACCATAGAGGTTCATTTTCTTTCCCTCTACCAATATAGGTTCAAGCCCTGTGCACTATTACATTCTGACTTTGTGAACATTGTGGGCTAGGCAGCGATCGGTGCAGTTGGCTTTACTGAACAATGATGATGATGGTGGTGGTGATGATGAAGACGGCGAGCTCCGTCATCGGTTATTCAGCATGTTTCAAAAGGAATTGGCCTCGTGGAGTTTTTATTACTTAGTTTGCTTTACTTTACTGCGACTGGCCCATTGGAAAGGATAAGCCGACTCTAGACATGATCATGATCATGAAGTTCCTTGGGAGTTTGGTACGACAGACGTCACCAGTGTCACTCGGAGTATTTTTATTCAGAGGGCGTCCATCGGACCTACTGCTCAGTTGTGGTAACCGACAACCTAAGCCCTGTCAGCTGAAGTAACGATTTACACAAGTTCTCAATAGGTGGATAAGGGCATTGAGTCAGACGATAATGAGGCTATCTACCAACAAGGATGGATAGCGATCAATGGGCTTTCGAATCTTGGATCTGAGTGCCCGGATCTCTGCGGTGGTAGCGAGCTAAACCATTTGATCAACACCACCCAAACGAACAAAACATATCTGCAAAAAGGAAAAAAACAATACACAAAATCGATGAACGGAAGACTTACCGGAGCATCAGATTCATCAGCTGAATACCCTCTCCTTTCAAAAACCGATCCTTGTTTTCTGGGAGCATGAGAGCACTGCATAAACAATCAAACAGGTTGTGCATCAGCTCCATTTCTTCTCGACTGGACGGATCATGACGTTTATAGACAGCCAGCTGTTGGAGCAAAATATCAATACCATCCACCTGACCCAAGTGTCGTCTGTTCGCCTCGTCCAATTGGAGTAGAATAGCGAGCAGTTCACTGACATACAATTTGTTACGATCAAACACAGGCCTTCTTTGAATGCGACGTAGTAACCAAGAGAATAGTCCCTGATTAGACATAGTCACATTCATTTCTGGACGAACATCGAGCAAATTTTCAATAATTCCTAAAAAGATTTTTTTCAAAAACAAAAATTTATGATCAGGTTTAGGGCTCATATTAAACTGCGCAGTGGAAACAGAAATAAAACGTATCAATGATGCAATCACTTTCCCCGTTAGCGCACAGAATAAATCAGTTTGATAAGGTACAGGTAAAGACTGACAGTGGATTCTATTCCACGTTCTCATAAAACAACGCGGTTAGTAAGAAACTGCAGACATTAGGTGAAATGCTGGGGTTCAGGCGTAGTGTGTTTCTTGCTGTCTTTACAGGGAAAACAAAAAGGAAGTTCTTTCGTTGAATTTTCATGTAATCCCGCGAGCAGATGGCGTCTTATTCAACTGACTGATCTTGTTGACTACGTAACCGACTGTTTGATTTATTCATTTTTTCTAGTGACTCATCAATTATTTGTTTACCTATTGAGCAAAGAAGCGAACTGAGCATTGAGATACATGAAACGATTAGCTGACTCGAAGTTGTGAGGGGACAATCGGAAGTAATGGAATCTACTTCCGTTTGGAAAGCATTACGAGCGTTGTCGTGTATCACTTTTGCTTAGCCTCTTCAGCAGTCTCCTCAAGAATCCATAACAATAGGA